AAGTAGATTATATATATATATATATATTTTTTTTTATTTATTAAAAAGATACAACTTTAAGTTTAAAGTAAACTCACAGAATAGAAAATTTTAAGATTTTTTAACAAATTTTGTTAATCCATTTAATTGCTTCTAATTATAATCATAAACTTTTTAAAATATCAAATACAATATTTTTGAATATATAATAATGTAATATATTTGTATTCAAATTTCAAATCCTAATTTGATTTTTTGTGTGTTAAATTTCACTATATTATCCAATTCATATAGAATATTCTGCATTTTTAATGTCATTAAATGTTTGTTAATTCTGTTATCATTACTTTTACATCCTAAACCCATGTTTGATATATCTTAAATTGATAACATCTTTTTTATGTTTTCTGAATTATTTTTGTTAGTGTCTTATAAATACCTTTTGTTTCTTTGATGAAATTAATTAAATTACTATATTATTCATTTCTGTATTTGTAAGGAGATAACATCCAAGATTCTTTAAATATTTAGATAAATTATTGAATAGCAAGATACAGTAACGTCCTTCATAATATTATAGAGATTATTCTGAAAATTTAAAAAAAAATCTTATTTTACGTAATTTTACACTAACAGTGTTTGTGGGAGAGTTATTTGAAAAAAATAATATCTATTATACATACATGCATACATATAATCAAATTTTAAATTGTAATACTTATTATAACATGCAACTAAACAAAACTTTGTATAAATGTACTCACTATGGTTTTTTCTTCCGAAAAGAAACGTCCGGTGCGAAAGAAGCAGCCTAACTAAAGTCAGTCCAGCTGACTTCAGATACCCCCACCACTCGCTTCAAACATCTAAATACGAACACGTGTACTGTGGTAAACATGAAAGCAAGTAAATTTATTTATACTCCAGACACCCCACCACCCGCTTCAAACATCTAAATACAAACACATGCACACTTATAGGATGCGTAAACATGAAAGTGAGCAACTATTTAAAAAACACATACATATAATTATTTTTTTAAAATTAAATTCATGCATGGATAATCTGCACATGGATAATCGGAAATTTAAGTGTATTTTACTTTGTTGTTGAATATTTACCTTTAATTTATATTTATATCTGCTAATTTCATTAATAAATTTATTAATGAATTTTTTTAATATAAAAAGGTTGGAATAAAACTTTTTCAATTAGCATTACAAAAAAGAATTTTTTTTTGTAAAATTTAAACGTGTTTAAATAAATCAGCAATATTAGAATGAGAAAAATAAACCACTAAAATTTGCTAACTAACTAGTTGCTGTAATGACAGTAAAAAATGTGTTAAATAATATAATAATAATAAANTCATAATATTATAGAGATTATTCTGAAAATTTAAAAAAAAATCTTATTTTACGTAATTTTACACTAACAGTGTTTGTGGGAGAGTTATTTGAAAAAAATAATATCTATTATACATACATGCATACATATAATCAAATTTTAAATTGTAATACTTATTATAACATGCAACTAAACAAAACTTTGTATAAATGTACTCACTATGGTTTTTTCTTCCGAAAAGAAACGTCCGGTGCGAAAGAAGCAGCCTAACTAAAGTCAGTCCAGCTGACTTCAGATACCCCCACCACTCGCTTCAAACATCTAAATACGAACACGTGTACTGTGGTAAACATGAAAGCAAGTAAATTTATTTATACTCCAGACACCCCACCACCCGCTTCAAACATCTAAATACAAACACATGCACACTTATAGGATGCGTAAACATGAAAGTGAGCAACTATTTAAAAAACACATACATATAATTATTTTTTTAAAATTAAATTCATGCATGGATAATCTGCACATGGATAATCGGAAATTTAAGTGTATTTTACTTTGTTGTTGAATATTTACCTTTAATTTATATTTATATCTGCTAATTTCATTAATAAATTTATTAATGAATTTTTTTAATATAAAAAGGTTGGAATAAAACTTTTTCAATTAGCATTACAAAAAAGAATTTTTTTTTGTAAAATTTAAACGTGTTTAAATAAATCAGCAATATTAGAATGAGAAAAATAAACCACTAAAATTTGCTAACTAACTAGTTGCTGTAATGACAGTAAAAAATGTGTTAAATAATATAATAATAAATTATGTATTAAATGAATATATTTAAAATGTTTTTAATATTAAATTAAAAATTTTTTTTAGAATAAATCTAATAACCCAAAGTTAGTTGTTGCTTTGTATCCATTTCAAGCCATAGAAAAAGGAGATCTATCTCTTGAAAAGGTTAGTTTTCAAATTTAAGTTCTGATATTTATTTCTTTATAACATTAATTTAATTTGTATTATTTATTACTATTTCAAATATGCTTTAAAGTCATAAAATTTCAGATTTTTGTATTCTGGTGTAACTTAATGAAAATTGCCATTTATTTTATTATAATCACAAAAGTGATGATAAACTTGATTCTAATATGATTCAAATTTAGGAAAAGAAAACTGTAATTCCATCCATATTAGGATTTACAGCATTGTTAAAATAAGTTTATTTAGGAATTATTCACTGAAAGAACATTTTTGTAAATATAATAATCCATACAGAATTTACTGATCATTCATTATTAAGTAGCCTAGTCAAATTTGCCAAAATATCAAATAATAATATAAATAATAATTTGTTGTTTTAATCAAATATTGAAAATTTGTTGTTTGTTGGGCTGCAATTTGAAAAGATTGTAGACCTAAAAATTCCCACTGTTGTTGTCATCTATCTCAAGAATGGTAACTCCATTCTCAAGATACATGAAATAGACAAAATCTGAGACCAGATATGGACAATCTTAGGGGCAAGAGGCCACAATTAACTGTATGCAAATTTTTGATTCAAACCAGAAGCCACGTTATTTCAATTCAAAATTTTCTTCAAAATGACTCTGTTGCTAATGGAAAAGTATAATGTTCAGGAGCATTATATTACAGTATCAATTTGAGGTGTTGAGCATATATTTTAAATGAAATAAGTCAAAAATATGATTGTCACAATGCCATGCTGCAATTTTTAATGTCATAATAAATAATTGCTCGTATTTGACTTATATATTTTTTAAGCATGTAGTTACTTAAATTCATCATTATTTAAATTTTAAATTCATAAAATTAATTTAAAAATTTTATATAATCAGTATGTTTAATATTAAATTTTCAGCACTTTAATAGTTTTTTAATGTCTTTAGTAATAAAATACGAATTAATTACTGATGCTATGGAAAAATAAAGATCAGTGTATGATTAAGGTTTTGATGAATTTATGATAGAGAAATGCATTTATGATTGTTCCATTGCTTGAAGTGATACATTTGGTTAAAATCACTGCTATTTTATTTCTATAAACAACTAATATTTTCTATAATATAGAAAATTAAAATTATAATTAAACTAATATTTTCATTTATCAAACATGCAAATGTTGCTTTAATAATATGTATTAATAAAAAATTTAAATAGATTCAAATATAAAAAAATTAATTTATAATAATAATTTTACTCTCTTGAAACCGTGTTAGTGATTATTTTGTCTTTTGAACATTATATAGTGTAAATACACAAACACTTGGCAATCTTCACCTTAAGTTTATTCAGTTTTTAGTTGATAAAATTATAATAATAATAATAATAATAATAATGTCTGTGTACTATATTATTTATTGTGTATATATTAATTTAAAAAGTTTTTTAGGCATAAAATAAAAGATGGTATAGTAAAATAAATCATATTATAAGAGAAAATTTTATTAAAAAATTGTTTAAATTATATTGATTACAATAAAGTGACACCAACTGCCTTGTAATATCAGGCTAATTATCAGCAATAATAATTTGAATTACTGACTAATTTGTCACTAGAAGGAGGCATTAGGTGCCGTTTTGTATTAAAGTTAATAATTATAATTTAATTAAATAATTTAGAATAAACTGGATGAAAAGAATCAGCCTGGAGTGGTGACTCTAACTTGCAGCTCTCACTTGCCTTACAGATGCATTGCCAATTATACTACCCAGATCTTTGGTTCAATCTCCTTTTCCAGATATATGTAACTTATGATATAACCATCATTGGTTATATCATAAGCACACTGATATTTAGCCCAGTATTATACAGTAGTTGGTGTCACTTTATTGTAATGTATTGGGTTTCATGGGATGTTTATATTTATATGAATTACCTTTGTCAAAAATTTGTACTTTTGAAATTTAGAAGTAATAACAATAATAGTAAAAATTTTTCAAAAGAAAACTATGAAATGATGAAATCCTGAAAGATATCAAGTGTATGACCTACCATTTTTCATAAATTTGTCTGTTGTTATATGTATAGTATTGAATTATTACTTGGATTATTTCTTATAACTAATTTTAATGAACTTAATTTAAACTAATAATGCAATCTTTTTAAATGATAGTTGGAAATTTTATTGTATTTTAAATTATAGCATATTTAAATTTTACTATTTTGTGGATTTTGTAATCTCATTTCTCTTTATTTTTTATGCTGTACTTTTTATGTTCTCTAATCTCATTCCCCTAGAATGAGAATTGGTGCTGCAAAGAATAAAGTTTTAATTTTTAGCATGGATCTCAAATTGAAGAGATGTCTGTGTTGGTCCTTTTTGTTTCATTTCTATACATTTTTATATTTGGTGAAATGTGTATCACCCTTGAACCACACTATGACTGCAAAAATACCATATATATATTTTATATTCCTTTTTTTTCTTCTGTCTGTCTGTTTATCAAACAGTTGTTATCTGCTAGACAAAGAGTTTTTTACACCCACACAGTTATGATGGGTGAACGGATAATGTGATATCTTGGTTGTTTACTTTAGTAAGTAGTGTTGTAAAGGAATTTTACCAATTTTTCCAACTTTAGAACTGCTCCCTTCTAAATTTTTAGCAATATATTAAAAATAATCAAGAGAAGCAAATTAGAACAAAAAAAATTATCAGTTAATTGTCATTGACCTCACAACATTCAGAGAAAAAATGGAGGAGATCATTGTCCTTTCTTTCTTTACAACTAGTGTTAAGTGATAGTTACCTTATCCACATCACATGAATATACATAATTCATCCTAGACAAGAGACAAGGAGGAACTAAAATTAACCAATATGCTTACCTCTCATTAAATCGACTTATTATGGAATAAAATCATGATTGGTCAGAAAAAATAATAAAACAAAAAAGGGAATGATGAAAAGAGGGAGAGAGGAGAGTAAACACATCATCAAAAAAGTGAGTCAGTATGACAGAAGAGTGTCACATCAAAGAAAAGTGTCATCTCCAGAGGAGACAGAGTCAGCACAAAGAGAGAGTCAGAGAAAGAGAGAGGGAAAGAAAAGGAAAAGAAAAAAGAACTAAAGAGAAGATAGCAACTCTTTTCCTGCTATGTTGTGAGTCATAAATTTTAGATTATTCCCTCTGTTAATACACCTTAGGTTTAACAATAACTAAATAGGCTAAGTTCCCATGATAAGCTTTATTTTATCCAAATATAATGTTTTGTTTTTAAAATAACTTTTTCTTTCTCATTTCTACATTGATGTAGTTCATTTTACATTTGTCCTTCTGAGATGCTCATTACTGGACTTCAGAGGACTCTTACCCTTGCGNGCTATGGAAAAATAAAGATCAGTGTATGATTAAGGTTTTGATGAATTTATGATAGAGAAATGCATTTATGATTGTTCCATTGCTTGAAGTGATACATTTGGTTAAAATCACTGCTATTTTATTTCTATAAACAACTAATATTTTCTATAATATAGAAAATTAAAATTATAATTAAACTAATATTTTCATTTATCAAACATGCAAATGTTGCTTTAATAATATGTATTAATAAAAAATTTAAATAGATTCAAATATAAAAAAATTAATTTATAATAATAATTTTACTCTCTTGAAACCGTGTTAGTGATTATTTTGTCTTTTGAACATTATATAGTGTAAATACACAAACACTTGGCAATCTTCACCTTAAGTTTATTCAGTTTTTAGTTGATAAAATTATAATAATAATAATAATAATGTCTGTGTACTATATTATTTATTGTGTATATATTAATTTAAAAAGTTTTTTAGGCATAAAATAAAAGATGGTATAGTAAAATAAATCATATTATAAGAGAAAATTTTATTAAAAAATTGTTTAAATTATATTGATTACAATAAAGTGACACCAACTGCCTTGTAATATCAGGCTAATTATCAGCAATAATAATTTGAATTACTGACTAATTTGTCACTAGAAGGAGGCATTAGGTGCCGTTTTGTATTAAAGTTAATAATTATAATTTAATTAAATAATTTAGAATAAACTGGATGAAAAGAATCAGCCTGGAGTGGTGACTCTAACTTGCAGCTCTCACTTGCCTTACAGATGCATTGCCAATTATACTACCCAGATCTTTGGTTCAATCTCCTTTTCCAGATATATGTAACTTATGATATAACCATCATTGGTTATATCATAAGCACACTGATATTTAGCCCAGTATTATACAGTAGTTGGTGTCACTTTATTGTAATGTATTGGGTTTCATGGGATGTTTATATTTATATGAATTACCTTTGTCAAAAATTTGTACTTTTGAAATTTAGAAGTAATAACAATAATAGTAAAAATTTTTCAAAAGAAAACTATGAAATGATGAAATCCTGAAAGATATCAAGTGTATGACCTACCATTTTTCATAAATTTGTCTGTTGTTATATGTATAGTATTGAATTATTACTTGGATTATTTCTTATAACTAATTTTAATGAACTTAATTTAAACTAATAATGCAATCTTTTTAAATGATAGTTGGAAATTTTATTGTATTTTAAATTATAGCATATTTAAATTTTACTATTTTGTGGATTTTGTAATCTCATTTCTCTTTATTTTTTATGCTGTACTTTTTATGTTCTCTAATCTCATTCCCCTAGAATGAGAATTGGTGCTGCAAAGAATAAAGTTTTAATTTTTAGCATGGATCTCAAATTGAAGAGATGTCTGTGTTGGTCCTTTTTGTTTCATTTCTATACATTTTTATATTTGGTGAAATGTGTATCACCCTTGAACCACACTATGACTGCAAAAATACCATATATATATTTTATATTCCTTTTTTTTCTTCTGTCTGTCTGTTTATCAAACAGTTGTTATCTGCTAGACAAAGAGTTTTTTACACCCACACAGTTATGATGGGTGAACGGATAATGTGATATCTTGGTTGTTTACTTTAGTAAGTAGTGTTGTAAAGGAATTTTACCAATTTTCCCAACTTTAGAACTGCTCCCTTCTAAATTTTTAGCAATATATTAAAAATAATCAAGAGAAGCAAATTAGAACAAAAAAAATTATCAGTTAATTGTCATTGACCTCACAACATTCAGAGGAAAAGATGGAGGAGATCATTGTCCTTTCTTTCTTTACAACTAGTGTTAAGTGATAGTTACCTTATCCACATCACATGAATATACATAATTCATCCTAGACAAGAGACAAGGAGGAACTAAAATTAACCAATATGCTTACCTCTCATTAAATCGACTTATTATGGAATAAAATCATGATTGGTCAGAAAAAATAATAAAACAAAAAAGGGAATGATGAAAAGAGGGAGAGAGGAGAGTAAACACATCATCAAAAAAGTGAGTCAGTATGACAGAAGAGTGTCACATCAAAGAAAAGTGTCATCTCCAGAGGAGACAGAGTCAGCACAAAGAGAGAGTCAGAGAAAGAGAGAGGGAAAGAAAAGGAAAAGAAAAAAGAACTAAAGAGAAGATAGCAACTCTTTTCCTGCTATGTTGTGAGTCATAAATTTTAGATTATTCCCTCTGTTAATACACCTTAGGTTTAACAATAACTAAATAGGCTAAGTTCCCATGATAAGCTTTATTTTATCCAAATATAATGTTTTGTTTTTAAAATAACTTTTTCTTTCTCATTTCTACATTGGTGTAGTTCATTTTACATTTGTCCTTCTGAGATGCTCATTACTGGACTTCAGAGGACTCTTACCCTTGCGCCTTATGTATTTTAGTCTTATCTAGTCTAAATCAGAGGAGTGTCCAGTAATACCTGGTGGTACCCAAAAATGTTGAATTTCAGTTTTGGTGGCCTCCACAAATAACATAATATTATTTGATATGTATTTGATATCTTTTTGTAAAATGAAAATATAATTAATGGTTCGATTAATATAATCAAATTCCAGGATTTTTTTTATATATATATATAAATGTAATTGATATGACTTTGAGTTATAGTTTCTGAATTACAACAGATGACAACATAGTTATAATTTAAAACTCAAATTATTAACTTTATTAGCTCAAAATGTAATCTTTAAAGATTTTAACTTGGTGTTTGGCATTAAAATAACCAGATTGTAATGTGTCATGTAGATTTGTACAGTATAGAAAGAAATTGGTGATATGGAATTTTTTTAGTGTAATAATAGTTTAAAAATGTTCTGTCTTCACAGGATAAAAATTTACATTAAATAGGATTTTTTAATACAATATCCAACATTATTGGAAATTAGAAAATTTATTTTAATAGGTTAAAATGTAAATATAATAAAAGTTCTAAATAAATATAAATAACAAATTTAACTTAATACAACAGGGTGAAGAATATGAAGTAGTGAATGATTCCCAAGAACATTGGTGGCAAGTTAAAGATAAATATGGGTATAAATTAATTTTATTTCAAATTAATTTAATCGGGAAATTTAAAACATTTCAAATTTATCATTATCTTTTTATGATTTCATAGTTTTAATAAATAAATAAATTATTCTTATGAGTTATAAAATGTTAATTACTGACTTGCAATATCAGAACAAATAACAATCTAGAACAATTTTATTATTGATATAATTAAACATAATCTACAAAGTTTTATATATAATTTTTTAAAACTTAAATATATAATGCAATGAAAAACCTGTAAAGTTCAATTAATTCTTGAAATGAAAGTAATACTGGTAGAAAATATTTTTCATAAAGAAAGCTTTTTAATTAAATAAATCAATTTCCAAATGTAACAATGAAATTGAATATGCAGTAAGTTTTTTTATTTCAGAAATTAAATTTCATTAGTATTACCATTTTGTGTATTAGTATGTAAAGTTTTATTGATCAGAATAACATTATTTGAATACTTATAGCTTACAAATGTAACAGGTCGGTGTGTGACTGCTTTATATATCAATATAAAACATCATTAATTTTCATTATTACAAGAATTTTCATTTTCAATTATTGAAACCAATATTAAATGTATCATTAAACTTCTCTCAATTTTAAAACATACTTCAATAAAGAAAGCATCTGTTAGTAATAATTTAACTGAGTTAGTATTGGAAGTTTGTTTAAATTTGACATGTTTATGATTAATTTATGTTTATGATTAATTCAGATCTATAACCTCAACATTTATAACAGTAATAGAAACCTTTATTTTCAGATAACATTGCACATTACAAAGATTCAAAAATTTTTTGAACATTTTCTTGTTGTGTTTCTAGATCTTAAGTAGAAATTATTCAAATTTTATAGCTTTTCAATGCAACAAATCTGATTTTCCTAAAGTAAATATTGATATTGGCATTTCTTGGAATCAGATGTATTACAAGTTGTTCCTGATTCTAGAAATTGCCAAGAGAAATATTTAATGTTCATGAAGCTGAAGGTTTCCAAATTGCAAATTTTATGTTTAAAATAAATGTTTGAAAGTTAGAAAAATTATTTATATTTTGTAGCTACAATAAGTTGATTTTTAATGAAGAATTACTAATTGAAAGAACAAAATAAAATTTGTAATAATCATAAATTATATTGTATCTGTTAAACTTTACATTTATATATATATAAAGTTTAATTTATATATTAAATAATATAAATTTTGTAATATATATTATTTACAGAACTGTTGGTTATATTCCAAGTAATTATGTTGAAGAAAAAGCTTCTTTAGGATTATGGCAATATGAGTAAGCAAAATTGTCAAATTAATTTTGTTTTGTTTCATTAACAATAAAAATAAATTTTTATTTTGAATAAATTATTAATGAGTTTTAGATTGTTTTAAAATAATTTTTTTGATTAAGTCAAAAAAATTATTTTATGTAACACTGTTTTATTATTTATTTAACACTGCTTTCAGCTTTAGTTGAATCATATTCAGTTCATACAATTTAAATGGAACAGAATGCTGCTTTTAACTGATACAATAAGAGAAAGAACAATCAGATATAAAAGTTTAAAAATTCTTTAAAAAGAAAAGAACATGTAGAACTATAATAAAATGTATAACAAAACATCTATTAAATTAAAACCTAGGGTAATATTTGAATAACAATATATATTATGACATAAGGATAAAAGCTGCTTAATATAAAAATGACTAAGTTGTAAGCATTGTTATAAATACAAAAACATTAGTATTTAATATTAATGGTTTTTGAATTAATATTAGTTATGTGTTTTTTTGAAGTCTCTTTGTCTAGCAGAGGCTTCCAAGTGCTTTGTAAAGTTTATAATTTTTAAGTATTGTGATAATCTGTAAATATATATCTGTTCTAACAGCTTTATATGGAATTCTTTTCTAAATTTTTTAATCAGTGTTGTTTTGTCCCAACTACATTTTTTTTGCCATGTTCAAATCATTAAGGAAGTAGCTGCTTAATGGCAACTTTTGGCAATGGATCTAAAATGACCTTTGACCCTCACATTGATTGACCTACATGTTGAGCCTATACAAAAGTAATCTACATTTAGCTTAGATAGCCCTGTTGTGTATATCCCTGATTTGTGAATGTATTTAATTTATCCTTGTCTGTTCTCAGGAGGCATGACAGAAGGGTTTCTTTGAACACTTAAGTAATATCTTGCTCTATATCTGCTAGTGCTACTTTACTTTTTACTACAATTACAGCTTTTTTGTTTTATATTATAATGCACTTAATTTGCTTTCTTACAGATGCTTTAATAAGGTAATTTCTGACCTTCACAGGAATTTCATGATTGTAGGAAATTGTTTTAATTAGATCACTTTCTGAATTTTTATCAATTATTTTTGACAAAATGAGTAACAGTCTTTCTTATGAACATTTTTTGTATTTCCTTATGTAATGATTACAAAAATCTCAGATCTGTTCTTAAGAATGTATTTACAAAGGCTCTTGTCAAAGAAGAAAAGGAATACTTATAGAACAAAAGCAAAACTTTTGCAAGCTAAGGAAAAAGTATTTTGTTTTCTTTAATAAATAAAAGAAAACAAAATAATTTTATTTGTATTAAAATCATTTACACAAATAATCATATTTTTAGTGAAATAATCATTATGCAATTCAGCTTTACATGTATATAACAATGAAAGTTTGACAAAGGCACATGATTATAAACTGCTGGATTTTTATCATGCTATTTTTTAGTTAAATAAAAGTTAATTACAAATGAATTAGCATCAAAGTAAACATAGGTTTTCTTGTTTACATATGATGGTGTAAAAATCCAGCATCTTGATTTTAATTTTTATTTACTTATAATTTTGATTTTAAATGGCTTTCCTCAATTTTATAACAGAAGGAATTTATAATTTCAGATGGTATGCTGGAGATATGTCTCGACAAAAATGTGAAATTGTACTTAGAACTGAAAATAAAGAAGGAACATTTGTTGTTCGTAATTCTTCTACAAAAGGAATGTTTACACTATCATTGTTTACTAAAAAGTAATTACTTAATATTGTTTAATTATTGATTATAATTCTTTTTTAATAATAATATCTATTTTTGTTTTTATTTTTCTTCATTTTTTTTAGTAGAAGTAATAGAATTTTAAGTGTAGATTTTCATCATTTGCATATTCTCTACTAGAAAACAACTATCTAGTCTAAAGAATGAAATTTATTTTAATTTTAAGAAATAAATATAAAAAACTTTAGATTTACTATTATATCTTAGTTTTATCTTGCATATCATACATATCACTGAAAAATATGGATCCAGTAGAATTGCATATTGTTGTATGAAATGTATAACAGTGAGAGACAGTATGTTTAGTTTTAAGTATTGTACATAAAAAAAAAATGTAGAAAAGCTCTGTTGAGTGAAAAGCATTTTTCATTGGATTGATATTTCAGTAACAAATTGTATTACATGATAAATTTGTAAAAACTCACCAAAAGTAACATTTTAATTTCAGTTCTTTTGTTAGTGTACTGAGCATTTTGTTTATAACCTTTTGTTCTAAAATGCAATTATCAGTGTTGTTACTAATTTATTATTTATTATTTGTGTGATTTAAATATTTTAGTAGTTTTATATATGTACTAAATTCTAAGTTTTATATTGGATGCGGTCAATTATAAATTAATTTTAAATAAATTTACGATACATAAATTTTATTATATAACTAAGTATTTATTTTTATTTTAAAGTCCTCATCCTCAAGTCAAACATTATCATATTCGAACAAATGCCAAAATGGAATATTATTTATCTGAAAAACATATCTTCTCAAATATTCAAGATCTTATATATTATCATAAACATAATAGTGGCGGATTAGCAACAAGACTCAAACAACCACCTAGTAGCCAAACAAGAACTGCTCCAACTACAGCAGGGTTAAGTCATGGTATGCAAATATTGAATTCAAAATAATTTTATATTTTCAGTTTTTTTATAAATTGAGATTAATTTTAATTATGAAAAATCTTTAAAACTTGGTAGCATATTTAATGAAAAATAAAAATACTGCTAAATATGGCAATTAAAAACCATTTATTTTTATTTATTATTAATCTTAATTAGTTAAATCTTTATTGTTTTGTTAATTTTAAATTAATAATAGATTTTTGAATTTATTAATGGATTGTAAAAATCTAAAATATGCGAACTACATAAAAGGGCATATTAATTAAATGTTAACTAAACGTCAAAAATCAAAATTATCAAAAATTATATCTACTAAATCTTTCTGAAAGACGGTTTAAAAGCCTTACAATTATGTCAGTGTCTAAAATCACCGACAATTTCTGCTTAAGTTCATTTAAATTTAATGTTGCAAATGTATATTCTATTTTTGTATGGTTAACATTTGATTTTTAAATTTTATCATAATGTTTCTAAATTATGTTCCTTTCTTTACTTGAAGATGATATTGATAAAATATTGAAAGTGCAAGCAATGATTTTATAATAAAAATCGTTTATTGCCAATAAACAGTGGTTACCTCGTTCTTTAATTTTATAATATTTTGGCATGGTAAACCTAATCATTCTTTTATGCAGTTTTTGGATTTAATTTGTTTTAATTGATCAGAATATTATGAGATTATTCAAATGTTACATAACTAAATATTGGTGTATTTTTCACAGATGGCAATGGATTATTGTCTTTATATTATGATTTTAAATAAGAACCCTTACAACAAATTAAATAATGACATTTTTTAATGTGTTGTATATTATTATTTAATTTCTAAAGAATATGCATAAATCTATGTACGAATATAAAAATTTTTAAATGATTTTTCTTTTGGAGAAGAAAGAGATATTTTAGCATGATTAAATGCGAAGATTTTATTGCATTGCAAATTTTCAATTAAAATTAAATATTATTTTGTTTTGAAATTCTGAATTTTGTATATATTGTAGAAGTTTATAGTTAAATTAAGTTGAAATATCATCATTTAATTATTTAAATCAGGGTTTTTATATGTTTTTAGATAAATGGGAAATTGATCCTTCTGAATTAACTTTATTGGAAGAATTAGGAAGTGGTCAGTTTGGTGTAAGTATAAAATATAGATTAGAAATTAGAGTATTAAATATAAATTAATATTGAAAGAGCCACCGCAAACTACAGGATGCAGGAGCTAGCGTACGCTCGCTCGCGCTCCTAAGCCCCGCCTTTTTTCCCATGATGCTTTGAGCCATTTTTGCTAGGTAAGCTACGCGAGCACGAAGCAGCCGCAAACTACACAACGTTTGCTCGCGTAACGTAGTCCACATGACGTGGATTCCACAGATGTAGATTGGCTATAGAACAAGATTTTATTATAACCTATACTTGTAATCAGTCAGTTTTCGTTCCGAACTTTGAAACAGCATGGAAAAAACATGTTTACTAGTTAAGCCTAACTAGGCTTAACTAGCCGAAAACTATTTATACTGTATATTACTATTTACATACAACGGTTATACTATTTTCTTTTCAATACTGAATGTATTAATCATGTAATTTACGTACATCGATAAAATTCTATAATTTCTTTTTCGATATGTGACATGTTTATGTTGTCATCCATTTTTCCCGTCCTCTTTTGCTAGCGTAAATACTCTAGTTGTTGAAATATCTGAACAGCGAGCGTACTCTCGTATCGCTGCGCTAGCGAAGGAAAAACAGCGTGGGCAAGAAGACATGGGCGGAGCCTTCGACGTCATCGGTTGTCTAGCGCACGTTTGCTAGCGTGTTTGCTCTCGCAAAGCCCTAGTTTGCGGCGGCTCTAA